GGAAAAGGAAATCATGTGCAAAAGGAAATCAGTGGAAAAGGAAATCATGTGCAAAAGGAAATCAGTGGAAAAGGAAATCATGTGCAAAAGGAAATCAGTGGAAAAGGAAATCAGTGGAAAAGGAAATCAGTGGAAAAGGAAATCTGTGCACTGCATCCTGTGGAATAAAGGGACTCCATTTCTTGTGTCATTTGTGGGGCAGCGTGGTGAAATCAGGCGCTCATCACACACCAAAAAAAATAATAAACTGTCATTTCTCTATCAATTTAGTTAATTTTATCATTTTTTAGTGGCCTAAAACCATTGTCGTCCAATTAAGAACACATTTCTGGGTGTATTTTTGAAAAATTGAATACGTTGATTAACGGCACAAAAATGTAAGTTTTCAGTTTCCACGAACTATCAAACTATGGAAATGACCAAACTTTGGCGACAATTTTCTCGCTAATTCTACCTTTGAAACCAGGAGACCCCACCTTCTTCAATCTCAAATATCTCGACTTCTATTCAAGATAGATGGGCATTTTATTCACCGATAGCAGGACAACTGGACAAAGTTTAAGATGATACCAATATCTCCACATGCGGCAAAAATTGACGAGCGCCTGATTCCCCCACGTCGTGCCACATGTTGTCCCTTCACCTAGTTATCTAGAAGATTGGACGATGGTAAATTCCGAGGGAAGCCACACGATTGCAGATGTATTGCTTTTAAAAAAATTTTTTTTTTTTGGGGGGGGTTGTTGTTAGATTTCTTTCCTGTTAGCTTCTGCCATGACCAAAGATGGTGGGTACAATAAATGTCATCATTGTTCTGTTTGATCTGAAACTGTCTATTGGGTGTGGGTGTATGTGGGAAGGGGAGGGGGGGAGGTTGGGGTTGGAGTCTCTTTTCTGTTCTTTTTAAAAATTATTTTTTCTTCTTTTTCCTGACCTTTAGTATCGCTCACAGAATAGGCCATTTTGACAGCTTCAAATCTGCCCACACTCTCGCGGGTGATTCAGTTTGTGCAGACACAGGTCGTGGTAATCTGGGGTCTTGTCGGGATGGAAGTTGTACCAGTACTATAGTGAGACGGGGAAATGGGGGGGGTGTTGTACCAGTACTGAGACGGGGAAATGTGGGGGATGTTGTACCAGTACTGAGACGGGGAAATGTGGGGGATGTTGTACCAGTACTGAGATGGGGAAATGTGGGGGATGTTGTACCAGTACTGAGACGGGGAAGGGGGGATGGAAGTTGTACCAGTACTAGAGTGAGACGGGGAAATGTGGGGTCTTGTGGGGATGGAAATTGTACCAGTACTATAGTGAGACGGGGAAATGTGGGGGAGATTGTACCAGTACTGAGACCGGGAAATGTAGATGGCAAAGCAGAGTCTGGAGAGGTGATTTGATGGAGGGAG